ATTTTCGGACCATTTCCTTTCTTAGGCCCATCCCAGTTTTGGACACTGCAGATACGTTCCCACACCCGCATGCTACGTTCCCGTGATCGCCATTGCCTTTTGCCTTTTCCTTCCCGCCCTTTGTTCTCCCTTTGTCATCTTCACTGCCTCGCTCTCGCGCCTTGTCTTTGGTTGCTAAGCAGCCCTTCTAGTATATAAGGACCCCTTAGGCACTCCCTAGTCCCCATCTCGACCTCTTGGTCATTGGGACTAGGTGAGTGACCATAGCGTTGTATCTCCCTCCGATTGCTAATGTATAACTTGGTCATTGGGACTAGTCTGTCGCTGCCTGCGTGAAGACTAGCTTTCGTAGGTCTCGTGCCTTCGTGCCGACCTCCGCTCTGCCCTCGTCGAGTTTTCTGTCACGTTTATCCCTCTCCCTCTCTCTTTCCCCTTTCGGCTCCTTGCCGCTCGCCTACGGGGTCGTCGCCGAACGTCGACCCGAGTCTACGCGCCTAGTCGCCGCGACAGATTGTAACAGAATACATATGATGTTGAACTGCTCCTTGACGCGCTTCGAGATACGTTATTCAAGAAAGCTGTGGCTCCTCTCCTTGTGTGCCCAAGCCTGACTTTCAAAGGACTTGTCGAGGTAGAAAGGGTTGAACATCTCGTGTGAGGAGAACTGTATATTAGATTATGAGAATCGAGTATCAACCTCAGGACCAGACGCATGAATCTTACCAGATGATGGGGCCTGTGGCGGACAGGGATCCTGAAGGCAACGGGCACGTGAGCCAAGACTGGTGCTGGATGGGCTCACCTCACGACCACCGGACACGTCAATCGTTCTTCACCCCTTCTTCGTCCCTCTCACGTCTCCGGATTCACAGAATCTTTCACATGGACGATCTGTACCAGTGGTTTGGTATGGATCGTGGTGAGTCTCCCAGCATCAACCCATCTGTGAACTCCGAGTCGTCCACAGGAGGGCTCCCTTCCACTCCTGAAAATTTATTCAGCACACCTGGACTTCACACCGCGGGGATCAATCCTATCGACTCCACGGAAAACTATGTACCAAATGGAACTCCGGAACCAGAGAACTCCCTTCGAGCGACGACAGCCAACCCAATCATGGTTGTGCGGCCAACATCGAAGCATGGCCGCGATGTAGATCCCTTTGAAGATGATATGGGACCACGGAACTTACTACCAGGGCAGCTATTACGAGCTGTCGCCGCCGAGAACTGCCTCGCTGCCAGTCTCAGTGTTGCCCAGACTCAGGAGGTGCTGAGTTTCTGTGAGGTACGTCTCCTTCAGTATGACTATATTGTACACAACGCATACCACACTGACCTCCTGTGTATCGTAATAGCTACCTGTAGGCCACATGCTAGTCAATCTCAAGATCCATCTGCTCCGCAACGAAAACGACTTGCTCAGAAGATATTTTCGGCTCTATCACCGGCACCCTGATTTCGTGGTGAGCTTACCTCTCTCAGTGCCCTCTGAGCTCAGTTACACACCTTTGTCACCATAGACACGGCTTCGCAGTCTCCTTGCTGCAGTCATCTTCGCACACAACACGCCTGCATACTTGAGCAACATCACGAACTCTATCGCGGTACATCTCACTTACCTCACACTCTATGTTATATGTTGACTATCTATCAATTCGGCTAGGAACATATTGAGCACCATTTGGACATAATCGCACTCACCCCCCAATCCCGGGACGATCCAGCTGACTGGGCGATTGTCAAGAGCGCCATTGCCACCGAGACCACAGAGATGCGGTCGGCGTTGAAGACAAAGGTTCGTGAGAGCGGCACGTTCCCTTGTGACGCCCGGCTAACCGAGTTCCCCACTATCCCCATAATCCCACCGGTGACGTGCCCTTGCCCTCCCCGCCCTGCGGCCCTCCTTCTCGCCACAAATGCCACCGCTATAACATTATATTACAGCTTGACATCTCCATCATGAATAACGACGATATCTACGCCCTGACGACAAAGGCCCTCATGTATGACATGCGCCCTAAGGAGGAGCATTGGGCTCGATTTGCGTTTCTGGTATGTCAGTCATTGTCTTCTGTGTCTGTCCTTCCAATCTTCCTTCAGCGTCATTGTGCCCATGAGCATAAGGCTAGCGGCAAGAATGGGAAGATGTTCTGGCCGTACGTCGACGGGCAATTGGTTAATATCCGGAAGAAGCTCAAGCAAGTCAACGCACCTGAACGCAAGGAGGCCGAAACTAAGTACGTATAGCTTCTGATTCCTACGTTGTCCTTCCTGAGATGACATTGCATTGACGATATTCCAGGTTTTTTGTAGATCTCTTGCGCGCCGACATCAAGCGTCACCCTATCAAGTCCGATACTATAGCCCAGCAAGCATATACAAACGCGAAACTTCGGCCGATTCAAATCTCCAT